CAGAAGAGGAAGCTGGAAGTCAATGTTCCATGTTTTAATCCTGGTGTTGTTATTAACTTTTAAAATCCCTTAGCATCACAGCACCTAGCACAGTGTTGACCACATATATTTTAGGTACCCAGAAAACATGGTTGAAGGTGGAACTGCCTGGTTTAATGACTGAAATAATTTAATGCAAGTGTTTATACTTTAGGGACCATCCTCTTCATTTACAAGATGACAAAATTCCTGTGTATATCTAAAATACATAAGATCCCTTTCATCTTATTTGCCATCTAAATAGTCAGACATTTCAGAAAATCACAGTCTGGCAAATAATAATCGATGATTATAATGATATCCCTAAGGTGTTACAAAAATGTAAACCTTCAACTGCCAAAGAATTTATACTCAGTTATGTTTAGATTACCCTCAGTGGTATATGAATGAACATGACGTTGCCTTTAGAAAAGAAAAGTCAAAATTTTAGGATGAGAGAGGATAAAAGCATTAGAATTTTTTAGGTTGGTTGGTTATATGTGTGTATTAAATTATTCTAGGAATAGCATTAATGTATTCTAAGAAAATATTTTGCTAACAGTGCCAGTAAGGCAAGGTTAAATCCAAATAGAATCCCCCAAAAATAAGAGATTAAGAAAGAATGAACAAAGACCAGGTGCGGTAGCTCACACCTGTAATCCCAGCACTCTGGGAGGCCAAGGCGGGAGGATCACTTGAGGTCAGGAGTTCAAGACCAGCCTGAGCAAGAACAAGACCCTGTCTCAAATTAAAAAAAAAAAAGAATGAAGAACAATTTGCAGTAAAATGAAAGTAATTGTAGAAATGTGTCAGGGAAAGTGAAATGATAACAACAGCAAAATCAAGGAGCTAAAAGTGGGATAAAATTAAAAAATTAAATAGTACCTGAAATTGAGAAAGCTGAAGAAGATATATAAACAAAACCGTAATTTATTAGGAAAAATCACTGGCCTTAGAAGGTATTACTAGAAGGGGGAGAGGGATCAGTCCCACCTCTTCCAATTGCACCATGAGAGTAACGTTGTGCCCTTGTTCTGCTGTCAGTTTTCCATCAGCCGTGACGATCCGGAGCCCCCGGGGGGCCTTTCCTGGACACTTCTGTGGCTTGGCAGTGTACTGTTCCCTTACGCCATCAGTGCAGTTATTGGAAACCACCTTTCTATACCTAAATGGAGAAAAGCTCAAGTCGTAAAGAAGCTCACTACAATGCGAATCACTCCCAAGTCTTCAAACTGGATATAGTGCCCAGCCCTTAGGACCATCAATAAGCACCTAACCATCTTTCGTGTTACTAATTCATACAAAGCACGTAGGGCTAATTCATATAAAGCACCCAACAGAGGGATAAATAATCATGGTCACACATTATATCTAATTCTTAGCATTTTAATTGACTTCTTTTATTCATCTAATCAATTAATAAATCATTTCTTTATTTTGGAGCTAGTGGAAATGCAGTAGAAGATATGGTCCCCACTCGCACTAAGTTTATAATCTAGTTGAAGAGACATAAACGGATAATCTAGGAATAATTCAAAGGCTATATACTCAAGGACTAGAATGAGTAATATACTGCAAAGGAATTTGCAATTCTGGCAAAGAATAGATTATTATGGATATATCACTCAACGTTAGATCTCATCGGAATGCTACAGTAATGTGGTAGTGCAGAACAAGTTGGCTACATTTGATATTTTCTACTCAATATTTCATGAAAGGTTATACCAGTCAAACTATTGAAACCTCACATTAAAGAGGCTTCAGTTTTTTGCTATTGAGTAAATCCTTCCTACTCTTTTGCTTATCTCTATTTTAATTTTAATAGAAAAAACGAATTATCCTACAAATTTATCCTATACAATTTATCAGATTCATAGTAAATTAGAATCTGTAATTTTAGGATGACCAACCTTTAAGATTTTTGAAGTTCAGTGTTACCTATTCATTGTCTTTTCTTACTGTTGTGTCCATGGTAACCACTTTACTTATTTCTATATTTTATTTCCCAAGTCTACTTGCTTAGAATTAATGGTAGAGCCCAAACTGAAGGCAAGCAAAACCTCCTCTCCACTCTTCTATACCAGAGGTCAGCAAACTTTTTATATAAAAGGCCAGATAGTCAATATTTTAGCTTTGCAGGCTATATGACCTTTGTCACTACTCAACACTGCAGTCGTTGCATGAAAGTGGGCGTAGATAATATAGAAATGAATGTATGCAGCTGGACTCCAGTAAAACTATTTACAAAACTAGCATAGTTTTCCGTTCTATTTAAGTCTAGTCGATGCCCTTTCCTCCATGAGAAAGTCAAAGGAGATACTGTCTAGAAAAGTGCTTTAAACTCTACAGATGAGTACAAGGTCCATTAACACTTCACTCACCTTACAGGGTAGGTATAAGGATTGAATGGATTAATGTGTTCAGAATACGTAGAACCACCCTAATACTTAGCGAGTGTTCATGAAATGTTGCCAATTATTTTTATTTAATATTATCATTATTGTTTCTCCTTCCTGTTTACAAACTTCATGGTTTTGGAGGCTCTTAGTATATAGTTGCAAACCCTATAATCTTGGGCATTGGCGTATAAAGCTCTCCAGAAGCTAATTTCATTCTACTCTTCTGAACTATTTCTCCCCAACAAGACCAAGCCCCATTCTATCTCTTTTTAATCCTCTTGAAAGTACTTTTTACTTTTTGTTCTTTCTGCTTCTATGTCCCCCTGCATGCCCTGTTGGCTGCCTAAAACTTACTCACCCTTTATGGTACAGCTTACTTCCTGTCTTCTCTAAGAAAATTTCCCTGACCACGCTAGTAAAATAGTAAGAAGTTCATAGAGAGTGCTATGTTCTAGTCCTTGTGCTAAATTCTTTACAGGAATTATCTCATTTATCCTCAAAATATCCCCAACAAGGAAGATATTGTAATTATTCATGATATACAGATGAAGAAATTAAGATTCATAGGCGTTAACCAGTTTTCTCCAACTCACATAGCCGGGATCCCAATTTGTCTCTGGAATACGTCTCCTCTTTACTACTGCAGTGTACTGCCTCTTTACATGGAATAAGATTGTCCCTCCTCTAAACTCTCCAAGGAATCCTTCTGATTTACTTGATAGGAATTTTAATGCCTTGTTCGATTTTCTTCCTGCGTGTGGCTATGTGAACTTTAAGCTCCATGAGGGCCTCCTTGTGCCCCAGACGTGCAAGACTGGTAACCAGGAAGTCCATTCTAGTCTGACTGTGCCAGTTTAAATGTTGAAATACCTGGATGGCAGTTGGTTAATACCACTGCCCCAAACCCTCTAAGCACCTCGCCCACCAGCCCAGCTGTGTTGATCCTCATCCTTAGAGTCTCTGCTTTTTTTTCACAATCCCGCAACTAATAAGTTAACACCTAGCACATCGGCGGGGCTCCAAAACCCTGCTCTAGCACTGAGATCACTGCCCACTCCCATTAGTCATTTTCACATCTGAGCATTTGAACATCATCCCATCTGATACTGAAAAAAAATGCTTTGTAGGTGCTTATGAGTGTATGCATACTGAAAGAGAAAATAAGGGCAGGTAGAAGAGAGAAGGAAATAAAAAACATGGTGCAGACATTGGAGAATGCTGGCATTCTGGTGCCAGCAGTGGCAGCAAGAACATGACCAGCAATACCACCCAGGATAATTATGGCATCTCGGTGAGTTTAACTGTGCATCACAGACTGCCTGCATGTTGTAGAGGTCAGGCACCATGCAAACTAAAGTCAAGTTATGATTTTTATTTAGTTAGCATCCAAGCACACTTGTGACCCTCTCTTGGTGAGCAGCTATAGAAGCATGGGCTCACCATCACCGCTAGCATCATCAGCCAGAGAACATTGCTTTTGTTTGTCGCTATTCTGACCAATCATCATCTCAGGCTTTCCTGAATCCTGCAACAACAGGAGTTCTGCTTAAACCCAAAGCACGAATCTATCCCCCTGGGATTCTGCCACAGAGAAGACTGTTGGTAATTTTTTTTTAAATGCTCATTAAAAACCATTCTGAAACCATTTTATTTCCTGTACGAAATGGCATCACATTAGCCCCACCAGACCTGTCCCTGAAATTTAGAAGAAAATTGTGCTGTAATACAGAGTTCATTTACCCAAGTAAGCACACACCTGCTTTTTGCATTACAGAATGGTTCTATTTTCATCCCAGCAGCTGTCCATGGGTCTCAGTTACATAAATGAATAATTCATTTAATATGTTATTAAATGGGACTGCTACCTCCGTATAATAACAAGGCAACTTATGATTATGTTGGACCTGAGCTCTGAATATTACTGGGATGCATTTAGTTGGTAAAGCATTCTTCAATCTGCCAAGAAGAGAAGTGCTTTGTAATGGCAAGGGAGTCTTTGTACAATTACTGCAAAGGAAACATTCTGCAAATGGGCCTTCAATGTTACCAACGGGTCATCAGTAGATGGTGTCTTATTACTCCAGCATCCCCAATTTCAGCTGTTCTCTTCCTTCCTATCTTGATATGCCTCTGTTACGTTAGCCTTTTTGTCCCTACCCTCTTTGATTTTGCTTCTGTGCTGCCTGGAAGTCTTAAAAAAGGTAAAGGCTATATTTTATCTTTGTGAGTAAAGC